CCCGCCCCTCCAGTCCCACCCAGCGGAGATGGATATTGACGTTCTGCATCCGACCTTGAGGACAATCAATCCCAGCCCCACATGTCCCCGTCGCAACTGCACAAACACACACACACACGAGCTGCAGGACATTTTTTGATTTCGCTCGTGGGATTGTGCAGAAACGTCACCGAAACTCGCTCCAGTGGTGAAACTCAACGGCTTCACTCTGAATAAAACAACAGTTCGGATCTAACAGGAGCAACTTCGCCCAAACTCGCATCACGAAGCAGAAACAAACTGCAACTAAATGTGGACGTTTACAAAGAGAAACCAAACTCTCTCCTCCAGTCTTTTGCGTCTTAAGTCAAAGCAGGAGATGGAAAAACATGAACGGAGAAAACGACCTCCGGATATTTATCAGCCGCCTTCCTGTTGCTGATTTGGATTGGGTCGCTGGCGGCTCTCGCGTCCTGATTCTGGAGGTTCGGTCGAACACAAATGGCAGTTCTCAGCTGCGTTTAACTGCCCTCATGTTCTGCACACTTTTCATTTCAAGCCGGATCCCAAAAGGGAAGCCGTGCGGAGCTTCAAGAAGCTGCCACCAGAGCGGCGACACCATTTAGCAGAAGTTTGAAGGATGGAGAACAAACTCCATCTGATCCTGATAATATCACGTTTTTACTGCACAGGGAACCTGAACTGGGTGTTTCTTTCCTTAAACAAAGCACCCATGAAACAAACAGATGTGAAGCTTTGAAACTGTTCAGCTCACCTCCCACCAGACCCCCAAGAAGCCTCTAATATCTGTCTCGACTCTAAAGACTTTCAAACTCTCGACTCTCTACGTTGCAAATCAAACAAACTAAACCATATTTCCGGATGCAAAAAAAAAAAAAACCCTGATGGAACTTCCAAGGTCACGCACATCATCAATAGTTGATCAGCGGATCGGATGGCGGCGGGTGAATTCATGCTTACCTCTGATTGGTGGGAGGTCCATTCTGTGCTGCTGCCGAGGCGTCCTGGTGTCACAACGGTCCTGTAACGCCGCTACAATATCCCCGTGGTGACCAACAGAGCGTCTGAATTCAAACGGTGCGACCTCGCGTTGTGGCGGCTCTTAAACTTAAACGGTGATTTTACGAGATCGCCGAAGTCCGGCTGACTGAAGGGTGTGTTTGTGGGTGGTGAGGATGCTCTTCCTCCTCTTCTCTAATCCTCCTGACTTCACCACCTCCTCCTCCTCCTCCTCTTCCTCCTCCACCTCCCAACAACCCAACCAGTCCTTCTCACGCTCTCCGTCCGACTTCTGGACACATTCGAGCTGCAACAGATGCTTCTGACGAGGAGATCCGGTCAGAAAGACGCTTCAGATGATTGCATCTGCAGATTTAAAAAAAAAAAAAAAAAGTGTCCTCGGATGCAGGAGAGGGAAGTATCTCCAACAGCGATGGGAAATACTTGCAGCAGCAGCAGCACAGTATTTGTGTTTTAGGTGTAAAAAAGAAGACGAGAAGGGAAACTGCAGCTCCAGAGGATGCAGAGAACTTTAAAACTAGAAAATCTTCCCTTTTGTCTGCTCAGAATAAAAACCCCTCAGTGTGTCTTCGCCTCCTTCTGCTGTAGTTTCCTCTCTTCTCTCCGAGAGATGAATGACTGAGAGCTGCATCATGCACTTTCTGCCTCGCTCGCCCGCCCTCTCTCTCTGCCCCACACACACACACACACACACACACACACACACACACACGCACACACATACACACTCCTCCCTTCGCCTCTAACTCCTCCCCTCTGCCGTGGCTGAATTCAGCTCAATCCACTTCTGCTGTACGAACATGACAGAGCAGAACGCTGGAGACAGAACCAGAGCTCGTCCCTGATTTGTCTGGTTTTGCAGCTCAGACCACTTTGTTCTCTCCAGGAGCAGCGTGAGGTGATGCAACGTGATGCACATTAGACTAAAACGCACAATCACCGGAAAAGAAGCTGATAGAAAGTGGTGAACAGCGTGGCAACTGTGTGAAACACATTGTAAAGCTCTTTGAGTGCCACTCATGCTACGTATCCACGGTGGTGTTGTTACACCAGTGGGCCACTAGGTGGTGTGACAACGGAACCGGCAGCAAAATCTTCTTTAGAACCAAAAAACCGAAACAGCATAGAGATGCAAAGCTTTGAAACAACTCATCTAAACAAATATCCGTCTTTCCCGCCCACCAGACCCTCGAAAAGCGTCTAACATTCGTCTGTAATGTGTTATTTTAGACTTTAAAGTCGTAGTTGACGTCAAACGGTGTCTGGACCAACAACTTTCACTTTTATTACAAAAACAGCTGAGCGAAAAGTATTTCTCAAGACACCTGAAGTGAACCATAAGCGATGCAGTTGCTAAATCTGCCCTCGTTTTAGCTTAATAACAACTAGTTTAGATGTTTCACAAAAGTTTTGTGAGGCCTCTGCTTGATGCCTTGACGCCGAGGTACAGCTAACTAGCAACGCCCCTTCCCTCGAAATGCTACCAGAATGGAAAGCGTTAAAGTGACGTATCCTGTGGAGACGTATCCTGAGGTAGGAGGGCGCCATCTAAATGTAGATCATGTACCAACAAATTATTTATTCTCACGGTTCAGTTCAGTTCAGTTCAGTTCAGTAATACCTGTCGGGACTAGCGGAGATGTGTCAATAAATGATTTTTTCCCAATCATTTCTTAGCTTATACGCACTTTAGTTACAGCAAAGTTATTAAAAACAATCCAGTGTGTACGTGTGCCATTGTTCAATGTTACGTAGGAGGTCAGACATCTTGTTGTGAAGCTTTGGTTGGACGCCGTCTGAAGTCTCGTTCAGTTTAATTCAGCTGTATTTACATGGCACCAGTTCACAACATCTCATAGCACTTCACATCGTAAGGTGAAGACGTTCTACACTTTAAAGAGAGAAACCCAATAGATCCTTTGCATTCCCTTTGAGAGAGCACATGGTGAAAGTCGGACGGAACCAAAACAACATTCCCGTTAGCGTGAGGGACAAGGAGGCTAACTCAACAGAACCAGGCTCAGGGAGGACGGACGTCTGCCTCGACTGGTCGGGGTGAGAGCATCAAAACACATTAAGAGTGTAGAGAGGTCAGAGTATACCTACTATGGCTCCACAAGATCCTAAAGACATGAGAAAGGAGCATTGTGGGGGTTTAGCTAGCTACTGTGACAGTGGCTTCTTTAGCGGTTAATGGATTCTGATCAGAGCTCTTGTTTCCAAGAAAAGCCGTTGATTATGTGGACAGATTTCTTGCACCTGAGTGGATAACACGTCTGGACTTCATTGACGAATATTTTGCATCCGTACCCGAAAATGGCTTCATGGCCATGTTGTAAAATGTGTTTAACTTGTTTAAGCGATTAATCAGCTGAGATATTTGGCCAAAATTTGTTTTTGTTGTTTGTTTTTTTTTTAAATTTGCTCGATTCAAAAGTCTCCCCCCTGTATACGTAATTCATTTGTTCCAACGCTCTGAAGACACTGGGAGGGTTCTTATTGGACCTAACAGCCCAAATATTTGTAACGCAACGGACTGGAAAAACAGTTTTGGGGAAAAAAATGATCTTTTACAGGAATTTGTTTTATTCAGATTTTAATTGGACTTTGGAAATCACACGTTGGGGAGTCGGACCCAAACTTGAAACCTTTTGTAGTGAAAAGATTAGATTCCTACACAATTTAGCTGAATTCTAACTTGTGTTTTCAAAAAAAAATTAACACAGTTTCTCATCAAAAGGTAGCACTGATGTGGTAGGAAATATCTGTTACCTTGATGGAGCCACAAAATCGGCATATGGAGGTAAAATGGCAGCGTAAGTCAGCGACAGATGGGAGTTGCATCCAGGACTTTGCAGTTTATATCAGTTTAAGTGTAGGGGAAGGCACATTTCTGCAATATTGTCTCATAACTGTAATACTCAGATGTTAGTCTCTGCATGGCATTTCCACGAGGGATCGACGGATTATTTGCACTTTTCAGATTGTCTGTTATCGTTGTTATACGAGTAACAGCCAACACTGACAGCTATTGTTTACACAGAGAGACAGACGAGCACATCGGCAAAGTAAAGCTGAATGAGTGGAGCTGTGTGACCAAGGTGAGGTACAAAATACTGCTGAAGTGTTCTATAAACATCACAATGTTCCACAAGGAATTCCATTTTCACTGTTACACCCAAAGACGCCCGAACTGGAACTTACTTTGCCGACAGTGCTAGGCTAACGCTATCCCCAAGAGGCTAGCAGTGCCTCTGAACCTGTAGCTAACGCTATTTGGAGCAGCATGACGTCTTTCTATCAATCTCGTCTAACTGATGCAAAGATGCAACCTGCAAAAAGTGAATAAGAAACATCGCCACAGACTTTAGCTACTTTGACAGCAGGCTAAGGCTACGCTAGTGGAAGGCGGCTAAGTTAGCGGGCAGTCACAGATTAGCATGAAACTGTGGATGGGAAACAATAGTTAATGATGAAGATTTGGGCCTTAGTGGCAATAAAAGCGACAGAACAGAGAAAGATTCAGAAGAACTACAGACGAACTATAATCCTCAATCACTCGATCTCTCTTGACGGGAATCAGCGCTAAAAAAATAAAAAACACACTTCAGTGGAGCTCTGATTTTTTATTATCTTACCTAACAAAGGTCATGACAGAGAAAACAGGGAAGGAGGAGCTTTTTGATTCATTCATTCGATCCGCGAGGACGAGTGACATCACTGACAAAATGCTGCATGACTGTAATGCGAGCCTCGTCGTTCCTATGAGTGTGTGTCCGAGGATGCTCATGCATGTGCGCGTTCGTACTTTTGTCTATTTTCTCGGCCCGCGGCCTCTTACTCAGCAAGATCCGAGCTCATCGCGGCGATGCACGACGTGCACGAACACACACACACACACACACACACACACACACACACACACACACACACACACATTAAGGTAACCGGACACTGGTCCCTAATGGGGGTGAGGGGAGCTCTGTTTCCTGTTGAGGAAAGTATCTGAGATGAAACAAACTGCTGATAGAGAGACACTGAGGAGGGATAAAGACAAAGACAATGAGATTATCTGAAAGGAACCAAAACTGCCTTCAATTAAGCGCTTTTTCTTCCCATAAGCTCTGGACGTGTTGCAGTGGTTGTTTCTGAAGGTGTTGCAGCTGCATTCGTTGGATTTACAGGATGGACGTGTCCACGACCCTCAGCTCAGCTCAGACGTGTTTGTGTGACAAGAAAGCAGCGGAAACATGAATGAATGCTGCAAAGACAACTCAGTGTTAACCCGCCGAACCCAAAAACCCACAAGGTTGACAGTCATGTTGATCTTTTTAAAAAGCTGACAAAGTGTTTCAGGATCATATAAAATAATAATAACTAGTAAAATATCAGAAAAAGTGTTGATTCACATGTTAACATTTTTTTTAAAAGGCTCATTTTACACATTTTAGTGTTTATAATTTGATTCTTAAAAATATTTAAATGTAAATCACTTTATTTTTACTGTATTTAAATGTGAAACAAAAATGTGGTTTACAGATATTTGTATTTATTTTTTTAAAAATCTGAATATTGATGATATGAAAAATGGTGAATACGGTTTTTAAAATGTTATTTTACAGATAAATAGCAGATCATATATTCTGTAATGTGTAACTGAAAATTTAGTCTGTTTTCTTTTCTTCTTTTTTTAAAGAAAAAAAATGTTTTAAATGATTAAAATAGTTTTAGAATCAGTTGATTAAGAATCTGCAAATGAACTGTTAATTTACAGACTTTCCCTGTTTAGTTAAATTCCAGATAATAATTATTAAAATATCATTTTAAAAGAGTTCTGAGTTACACACTAACTTTAACAAGTAGTTATTTGATATTTGACTGTAAAATTACACGATTTCTTATTTCTGTATTTAAGTCAGCAAAAATGTTAATTTAAATTGCAGATAATATCTAGTAAACAGTCTTATTTACACACTGCTATGACTGTAGAAATATGTTTATTAATGATGGAAAAATTCTACTTTTTTAAAATTATAGATGATATCTACTGAAATCACAGAAAAATTGACAAAATTGTAAAATCACTTTTTTTTTACAGTATTTAAATCGCCAATTAATTGTGTTATTTTACAGACGTGTGATGTTGTTTTAAAAGCAAACATATGCACATTAATGATTTTTAAAATGTTAAATAATTTAAATTACAGATAATATTCAGTAAAATAACAGAAAACTGAAATAATTTATTAGTTGACTGTTTTAAAAAAAAGACAAACAACAAACAACAAAACCAGTACATAAAGTAAATCAGTCTTCTCCGGTGTGTGACTTCAACATTTCACAGGTATTTTTTTAAAAAAAATACATTATTTAAACAATGTTTGCCTTTGTTTTCACTTTCTACGTTTTATGAATGTTAGTTTGTCAACATGTTTGTTTGCGGCCCTCCTGCTGCCAGATCTTCGACCACGCTTTGCTTTAACTCCATTTTCTTTTACAGTTTATTTGTCCGTATCAAATAATAAAAACATATAAAACCTGCCACATTTTCTAGATGATTTAACTCATCTAGAGGAAAAAA